GACTAATCCACATTTTGTAAAAATGGAGTAAACTCTGAAGTTCAAGTGATGGGATATCAATATCAATATCACATGGTTAGATATATTGTGGGATTAACCTACAAGTAGCCGAATATGTGATATTGATATTCTTTCCATCACTTTAACTTTGTGGAGTTTTTAATAATAGATTATAAATCAGAAGTAAGTTGTGAGTAAGTGTCACAAGGCAATAATAATCAGTAAGTAACTGCATCGAGATGGCCAAATTCCATTTCTTATGATCCATTTCTTAAACTTAATTATATTATGACTGATCAATCACATGTATTGTTATTTGTCTTGGAAACTACTATCCTTATAATTGGCTAAAATATTGTGACAATGATCTAATATGATTTATTTTGAATGTAAAATCCTAGATTTATGATACTAGATTTATAATTTTGATTTATTACTAGTATGATATAAGGACTAATAGGTTATTGTAGAAAATTTATTAGAGTTTATTTACTCTATTTTTTTTTAATGTAGTAAATCCTTCAATTGTCACAGATTTTTGATATTTGTTATTATTTGTAAGATAAATTACAACACTAATTTAGTTTCTATGATTTAATTGTTTATATTATATATTTTTTTTGTAGCTGTTAGCGATGCAATTCGTACAAGTCTTGGACCTAGGGGGATGGATAAGATGGTAAATTTCATTACTCTTCACATTCATTACTCTTTCTATTTGACAAAGTTATGTATAACACTATTATGTACATAATATTAATTTATTTTGTATATATTTGAATATTACAGATACAAGCTGGTAATGGAGAAGTTACTATCACAAATGATGGTGCCACTATCCTGAAAGAGATGAATGTGATTCATCCTGCTGCAAAAATGGTGAGAAATAAATTTGCCTCCGTCTTTAAATTTCATGAAATTTTATATTACAGTTTATATATCTTATGTTTAGCTCGTCGAGTTATCAAAAGCTCAGGATATAGAGGCTGGTGATGGTACCACAAGTGTCGTCGTGATAGGTGGATCACTGTTAGAAGCAGCGGAACGTTTGTTGCAGAAAGGCATTCATCCTACTTCGATCAGCGACGCTTTTCAGAAAGCAGCATCTAAAGCAGTATCAATTTTGACACAGATGTCCATACCTGTTGATTTAACAGATAAAGAATCTCTTGTAAAGGTTGCAGCAACATCTCTTAATTCCAAGGTATATTTAATAATACATTTTATAAAAATGTTAATAATATATATTGTATTTTGATCGTCAGGTTTTGTGGTCAATCTAAAATTATATATTATATGTATATCATAATTAATTTTAATATTTATTATTAATATATTTTAGGTTGTGCATCAACAATCTAGTCTTCTTGCACCACTTGCAGTGGATGCCGTGTTAAAGGTTACTGAAGAAGGAAAAGAAATGTCAGTTGACTTAAATGTGAGAGCAAATTATTGTTATATTATTTAGCAGATAATGTATTGACATGAATTTGCTTATGTATGTCTCTTTATAGGATATTAAAGTGATAAAGAAATTAGGAGGAACTGTCGAAGACACTGAATTAGTAGATGGATTAATATTTACTCAGAAATCTTGTAATGTTAATGGTCCGAAACGCATTGAGAAAGCTAAAATTGGATTAATTCAATTTTGCATTTCACCACCGAAAACTGATGTAAGTATAGTGATATACGCGTATTTGTTTCTACTAATCTTTATATAAATGAATAATCAATTTCTTGTATTTTCTAGATGGATCATAACGTTATTGTATCGGACTACGCAGCGATGGATCGTGTTTTAAAGGAGGAACGTGCCTACATATTGAATATTGTAAAACAGATAAAAAAAACTGGTTGCAATGTACTTCTCGTACAAAAATCAGTCCTGCGCGATGCTGTTAGCGATCTTGCGATACATTTCTTGGACAAAATTAAGGTCATGGTGATAAAGGACGTGGAGCGCGAGGACATTCCTTTTGTGTGTAAAACGCTAGGTTGCAGGCCAATTGCATCGCTGGATCATTTTGTGCCTGAAAATCTTGTCAATGCGGAGCTCTGCGAAGAAGTTCAAACTGGAAATTCGAAATTTGTTAAGGTGCGTTTCCTTTGCTTAGAAAACATAAATTATTACAATATATAATATCATCTTTCATTTGTAGTTGAACGTAATTTATAACAAACAGGTTTTATATAATTGACATATTTTTTACAGATTACAGGAATCCAAAATCATGGAAAAACAGTTACAGTCCTTGTACGTGGTAGCAACAAATTAGTATTAGAGGAAGCTGGGAGATCATTACACGATGCCTTGTGTGTCATCCGGTGTTTAGTGAAGCAACGAGCGCTGATTGCTGGTGGTGGAGCACCAGAAATTGAATTGGCATTAAAATTGGGAGAATATGCAGTGACCTTAGGCGGAATTAATGCATACTGCATCAAGGCCTTTGCAAATGCGCTTGAGGTTAGTGTTTCAAAAGCATTCTATAATTGTATGTAGATTTTGTTTTAAGAACATCCTTATTCGTATTACTTAAATTTCTATTCTTTAAAAAAAGAGTTACCGCAATCGATTTATCTAGTTATCTTACTATTGTTCTTTTATTTTTATCACAATAATATCTTTTCATTCAAAATTCTTTATAATATTATGTGCTCTCTATGTGCTCAAGTAACAAAAGTAGCCTTCTTTCGCTTGATAAGCAATTATTCTATCATTAAAATATTTAGCACCCAAAAAACTTTTACTCTAATCAAATTGATGTGTAATAGCCAGAGACAATTAATACAATGCTTAATAATCTTGTAATTTATAAATCACAGGTAATTCCGTCGACGTTAGCCGAAAACGCGGGTTTAAACCCGATAGCTACAGTAACTGAACTTCGCAATCGACACGCGAAGGGCGAAGTAACTGCAGGAATTAACGTTCGGAAAGGTGCCATCACTAATATATTGGAGGAGAATGTGATTCAACCACTGCTGGTTTCTACTAGTTCAATAACTCTTGCTTCTGAAACTGTACGCAGTATTCTGAAGATTGATGATATTGTCAATACGACTCAATAAAATCATGAGACGTAATTTAAAATTGTTTCCGTATTTGTAGTAAGTATAATTAACAATACGTAGTATACTTTACATTTCCGTTATCTTTGTAATACGATTTTTCATTTTTATTACAGATTTGTGCACACATTCATCACATTTGTTTCATTGATTACGAAAGTCTATATATTAACGATTAATTTGTATATGCTTTTCGCAAAAGTTTTACATAATGTAATATTTTTTAAGCACGTCAATACTGAATAATAAAATAATGTTGAAACATTTATTTGTGAAACTATATAATTTGTATTTATTTTTTTACAATGCAAACATAAGAGCATTATAAAATTGTTAACATCTATTTTAATAAAAAAAATCTTTAATTTTTCTGATCTATTAAAAGGAAGAGGTGATTAATTTTTGGGAGATCTTATAAACATTAATATATATCTAAAAAAGACATATAATACATATATATTGATCTTTTTAACAATTTAATCGAAATACAATCTCATACACAGAGTTTTGGCTAAGTACAACTAAAAATTAAGTACATTTTGCATATAATAAAAAATATATATTTATATTATAATATATTGTATCTTATAAATCAATTGCATAATTACGTTTATATTATTGCTTTTAAATTCTAAAAGATCGTAATGGTCATTAATATAATTAATCATAATTGTTATTAAGTACATTTATATGATAGCTGCATTAGAAATCTCAAAAGTGTGCATATTGAAATCGTAATCCCCGATGAAAGAAATCATTCCATTCCATTACAGATAAATATGCACAATATCGTTGTATTAATCGTTTTTTAACAGCAATAGTTCTTTATTCAATAAAAATAAAAGTATAGTAAAATCTGATAAAAATAAACACAAATTCTTATTAATTAAAAATATACGCGAAACATATATCTGAAACAAACATTAACAAGTATAAAATTTTATTGAAATTAAGAAAGTAAGACCCTTGGAATAATAATTAAATAAAGAAAGCCTATATGAGCAGTTATTAGTATATAAATTATTGTATTTAATTACAATAATTGATATTTACATAAATATGTAGCTATTATATTCTCATATTGACGTTTCAATCTCAAATAAAATTTTATGTAAAATTAATTTTATAAAACGATAACAAAAAATATAAATTTCTTCAATTTTTGTCAAAAGAAATAAAAAAATCTAACATAAACTGTTCATTTTACAAAATAAAAGAACATTTTTTTAAATATTAATTCTTAATCGTTTCATTATATGGTAATATTTGTATAATATTTATAAGTTCTATATTATACTAATTATTAAACGTGTAAAATGTTTTACAGTAGCAATGAAGAATTTGATTCACTGGTATATAAAAATAAAAATATCTTATAAATATGTAATAAGTATTTCAATTTTCTGGAATGTACATATCTCTTTTATATATAAATTTTTACACACATTCTCGCATAAGCTCACGCGCAAACATATTGTATAATATCAATATAAATTACAATTTTCATTTAGAAATAAGTGTCAATTTTTATATTATTTTATGTCAACCTTTAGCTATCGAACGGCTAGAAGAAGTAACATTATCAATTTAGCTAGAATTTTTTCAAAAATTAAAAAGCATATTTTTAATATAAAATTTTTATAAATTAATTCATATTAGAAATATTCGACGAAATCTTGGCAGTAGTAATGAAAACATTGTATATCAAAATATTTTTCATGTGTAAATCTTTCATATATATACTTATAAATGCTATTAAATATTAATTTCTCATTATAGTTTATCAGTCAGCGTAAAGAGGAAGCAATATGCTTTAACTGGGATAATTTTGTTTAAAAAATTATATATCTAAATGCTTTTCTATTAAATTTTAAATTTTAAATTAAGCTAAATTTTTAAATTTTAATTAATATCTAAATTTAGATGACACGTGTATATTTCTAAATGTAGGAGACACTTGAAATAGTTCATTAAAATTGAAATGCACTTTTTACACTTCATAAAGCGCTTACCTCTTAACTTTCACCTTAATATATCTTAAAATTCAAAATTATTGTTCTTAGATTCTTAGATATTTATTCGATGTTTATGTTCAATATTCGTAGTTATTTATTTATATCGCTTTCTAATATATAGTGAATTATTAGTCACAAATAATGTTAAACTATCTTGAATTATATATTACTAAATAAATTTTGTTCTTCCGTATAATTTTAAATAATTTACAAATTTTGATAAATAGAAAAGTTTCCCTTTTTCACATTACCATCGTGGATGAACTTGATGAAAACTCCATTGCTGATAAGCATTGTTTATATCACATGGCATCAAAGATAACTGCTGAGTTTGAGGATGAAGTGCAATACATTTTTTATATACTCTATGTAATAATGTTTTTGTTTTCTGCAAATATGAATTAACATAAATTAATATTCATATAAGATTTATTTATAAAAATTTTTCTTATCAAAAAATAATAAACTTACTTCATCGTACTGCCATGGACCATCTACAGTCCCCAGGCGACAAAATGCGTATTTTATACGTTGGCCATCTGCATCAATGCATCTTTCACCAACACCCAATTGGCCCTTGGCATTCAGCCTGATAAGCTAATAAGAAATGTATATTAAAGATTAATATATATTTTAATAAGAAATATTAGAAATACAGAGATAATAAAGCATAGAATAAAGAAATTAATAAGTTATATTAAGAATAAAATATTTGTAAATTACTTGATTATTTCCAAACCCATGACAGTGGGAAGTAGCCATGAGACTTGGAGGTGAGTGACCCATAGTATCCAAACATGATCCAGATGCCGTATTACGTAACTAAAAAAGTATTGTCATTATTGATATGAAAATTATGTAGAAAATTTGTTGAGGAAACTTAAATATATGCGCTTTTGGTCAAACATACTTCTCCCCAGTGAATATTTGGTGGCAATTCTGGAAATTTATCTAGCACATCATATGCTACATTATCGACGAACCATTGGAAGCTCTTACATTTCTTGCGTTTTTTAAAAGCTAATTGTTCGGATATATCACCGTGATCGAGCAATCGAGCCAAAGGTTCTCTGGTATAAAAGAACTCCTTGTGTTTCTCATCGAACCACGTTTCTATAACTCTTTTATAATTCTATAAAAATAATTCACTTTATAACTGTTTCTTTCGTCTTCGGTGAAGATATACATATATATAGATGTATCTATAGATGATATGATAACTCACAATAGTTATCAATGGTCCTTTCTTTTTCTGAGCAAGTTTACCGAATGTGTAAGGCATAAATCCTCGGTAAACATGCCCAACATGTGAGCATGGAACCCACAAAATACTTCCACCACATTGCCATATCTTAAAGGATAATTCGAAATTTTCTCCTCCCCAGACAAGTAATCCTTCATCATATCCACCCAATGATAAAAAGTATTGTCGACTTATGGCAAATAAACCACCAGCGTGCGTAGGTGATCTGTAAGCCGTATATGAATGAAATAATACAGAAGAGAAATATCAATATAACAAACTAAATAAGATTATATATATGTAGAAACAGAAATTGTACCTGTACGGCATACTGTCATGTGCACGTGTTTTGGCTTCCCGCCTGGGCAATTCGTTCTCTTTATACAACATTCCCCATTCAAATATTCCTCTGTACAAATGTCCTTCTTGATACACAGGACGATACTCAAAAGTTTTGTGATCAATACCGTCTATCACAGGAACAGTCATTACGTTTCTAGAAAAAAAGAAATGTATAATTTAGAAGAAAAATATTGCAAAATTATAGGTATTATTTTATTATCGTACTTCTCCTATTTGAGTATATTTCAATTTTTTCTAGTTACAAAAACATCCATATTCTTCCATTTCTCAATGTAAATTATTTTACCTATTTTCAGCAATTGGCGCTAAAAGCGGAGGCAGCCAATTCACATTAACTTCGCAATGAGCATCTAAAAACACTATTACTTCGCCTCTGGCCTCACGTGCTCCTCGAGATCGCGTTCGTATTAAACCTTGTCTCTCGTGATTTCTAAGTAATCTAACTTTTCCTCCCCATTGTTCAATATAGGAATCTAAATCACTTTTTAAATTCTCTGGAAAGAATTGTATCATTTATCATGTAAACTATCAAATGTTTCCAAGTATAAATACTATAGCATTTCATAAAGGAATATACCTTTATCAGAAAAATCATCAACAAGAAGAATTTCTTCAAGTAACTTTGATGGAGTACGATCTATAACGCTCTGAATAGTTCGCAGTAAAACAGACCAACCTTCGTTGTGAAAAACTATAATAACACTGGTACGTGGTAGCTCTTCTGGATAGTTCCAATGTTTACATCTATATTACATAAAGAAAAATGTAGAAATTAAAAGTTAGATCAAAAACTAATACTATGAGCTGTACAAGATGGAACTTACTGTGCAAGTCTGGTGTCTGGTATCGATCTTGACAATGAGATTTCATCAGAGCACACCATATTCATACCATAATCGGATTCTGATTGCTGGACATCATTCAACTGATCATCTTTTAAAATATGTGGCTTACCACCTTCTCCAGGACCGGATCTAACTGGTACATCTCGTAGTTCATAATTTCCTAAACCTTCTACGAGCACTGCCTACATAATGTTAAAAAGAGATATAGAAGCTGTTCAATAAGAGACACAGGTAATATAGTGAATCATTATCTTGTTTGCCAATATTAAATGAAGATAAAATGATTCATCATGTCATTTGTGTCTTTTGATAAAAAGCATAACTAAAAAAACCTTAACATATATAAGGATAGAAATCCAAAATATTGTCAATAAAAAATTGTTTAGCATAAATATTTATAAAATAAATTAATTTATGTTAATTAAAATAAATACTTTACCTGTTTCTTTTCATGACTTTGTGACCAATATTCTTTTATATTGTTCATATGATCGTCTGAGGAGAAATTAAGAAGAATGTATAAAACTAGCAATGTCAGAGAACTGCCAATCAATACATGGAACAAGCGGTTTCTTCTAAACTGCACAATCCTCATCTTCTCCAAATTATATATCTAAAAATTTAAACATGTTATTTAATACTGTTTTTTTTTTAATTTTTGGAGCTCTAACACGATATTTTTAAAAATTCTGTCAACGCTACGTATTATTTCAAAACTAAATCAAACTAATAATTTAGCCGCTGTATAATGTGTTAACGCGGGACTAACCTGTCCTATTTTTAGCTAATAATTCTGACAAATAGATGAAATATACCTTTCGTCAGAAAAAAGAAACTGAGACAATTCAGAGCCAGCTCAATGGCATGCATTCAACGTGTCAAACATCAATAATTATTACACGTTTGCAACCTACATATTCAATTGTATCAAAACTGCAATATATACATTTGCATAAAAGAAGTCAACGTGTCGCCAGCTGTCGCGTACTAAAAATGTGAAGATAGAGACGCTACATTTGCAGAGCGCAGATCTTTCGCATATTCATCGCCATGTTTGCGCGATTTCTCGCGCAAATCCTGAAGTCTGTTTTCCGTAACTGAACTAGTGTACACTTTTGGAACTTAAAGTGAGATAGATATACGTTTTGATATTTGTTTAAAGCAAGAAAGAAAGACCTAGAACAATTTAGTGCAGGAACCGAAAACAGACCAATAGTAGAAGACATTTTGGCTCAAATATGGCGACGATCAGTGGCTCCGCATAATCAAAAGAATACAAAACAGGGAACAACAGGGAACTGTAGGGTAGGTTTCATAGCTCATTCTTATATTCAAGACCTTTTTAAGTACGGTCTTAAGATGTTTTCTAGATTCATAGTCGAAAAATAAGATGGTACTTGAATCTCAAGTTAAAACTTATCGAAGACGATCTTATTTCAAAACGTCTTGAACCGTCTTATTTTTCGACTATGAATCTAGAGGGCATCTTAAGGCTAATTCTACAATATGCTCTTTGTTGCTTGCTTTTGCCTATTGCTTCTTCCTTCTTTACAACCGTTTTATCGACAATTGTATTTCTTGCTGTGTTTCTTGTTTTTCCCGAAGTTCGTAACTTTGATCTCAGACGACATAAAAGCCGGATACAAAGCCAGGAACAAAAATCGGATAAGAAGCAAAAAAACAAGATGTAAAAAATAGCAAAAAGCAAGAAACAGGAAACAAAAGGCACATTGTAGAACAATCATAATACCGTACTTAAGACGGTCTTGAATATTAGTCTAAAGCCCAATATGAATATTAGTCTAAAGATAAAGAAAGAATTGACCAATCGCATTGGTCATGTGATCAAATTGTTCAAATGCGATGTTAATTCTTTTTCTGTCCGAGATCTCGGACCGATTTCTAGCATCGTGGACTTTAAGAACGGATTATGAATACCGTTTATTGTTATATTGGAACTGATCAATTGCATTTTGCTGTTCACAGAAGTGACCAATCACGGTTGACACTTAATCGACCGATTAATAGATTAATCAGAGTTGGTGACACCAGCTCTTAAGACACTAATGCGGCGCTCTGATTGGTTCGTGACTTCTTAAGATCGCACTCAAGACTGTCTTGAATATAAGAACGGATTATGAATACCAACCTGTTTCGTGTCGTGAAATTGGTACTGAATCTTTCCTTGTTCCAAGAAATAGAACCGTTATACCACATAACAAGAAATAATAACATTTTTTCACATTGTGTTTGCGACCAATTATTTTTTAATTTTGATGAGTTGTTACATAATAATTATAAAGTATTTGCGTTGTCTAATTTATGCCAGTTCCATTTTCGGCCGCTAGGCGCGCTGGAGAGAATCTTTGCGTCATCAACATTTATTTTTTCTTTACAAGTTCTGATAGTCTATAGCAGTTAGGCTCATGAGATCATCGAGTAGGTGAGACATGTTTCCTCTCGTCTCGAGTTGCATCGTCTCTATTATATTTTTTAAGCGTTGCCGGCTTTGACAGTGCCTAGCATTACACTATTCGCAGTCCTACATTAGATACCGACCGTATCGTGGTGTGTCGCGGGAGCCATTAACGAGGAAGAAGAAAAAGTTCATAGCAGTTCGTAGAGACAACAAATATATCCCATAAATGACTAAATACATTGAACACTACAGGTTTCCACTAAATAGTATGTTACAAAATTTAATTAAATCTCATGATATACTTATGAAAGAATAAGATGAAATTGATAATGAATTTCATCGGTTTCTTTAGATTATAAATTTGAGGCTGCCCGTCTAAAAAGTTTCCATTTCTGGCCGCATTCGTGGAAAAAGTCAGAAGAATTCGCAGCGGCTGGATTTTTTTATACTGGTGAAAGCGACATAGTGAAATGTTTCGAATGTGGTGAAGAATTATGGAAATGGAAAGTGGAAGACGATCCGATGGTTGATCATCAGCGGTGGTTTGGAAAATGTAGGTTTATTCGTAAAATTCCATGCGGCAATGTACCGATCAGTACAGATCCTAGCGCAATTTCAACATCGGTGCCGTATGGCGTGGATGAATGTGGAATTTATGTTCGGACAAGCATGCCTAAATCCAGTTCAAACCATGGAGATCATTTTAGATTGAAAGAGCTTGCATCAAAACCAAAACATCCAGAATATGTCAATTATGCTGCCAGATTAGCGTCGTATGATAAATGGCCCAAAGCTATGTCACAAACTAAAGAAGAACTGGCAACTGCTGGTTTCTATTATTCGGGAAGTGGCGATGAAACATTATGCTACTACTGTGGTGGAGGATTAATGGATTGGGATCCATATGATGATCCTTGGGTAGAACATGCTAAATGGTTCAGTCAATGTCGTTATTTGCTTGTAATTAAAGGATTAAAGTTTGTAAACAACATTAAGAAACCATATACTGAAATGGTAAGCTTTTAATGAAATTGAAATGTCATATTGTATTATCACCAAAAATGATTAGTCAATACTTTATGGGATTTAAATGGTAGTGTGATTATTTATTTATATGCTGAAATATGTGTTTATATTGTGTGTTATATAAGAATAAACAGGTATTTAATAAAGTAAGACTTTAATAGTTGGCTTGTAGATTATTACGTACACACATACACATACACATACACACACACACACACATTATATATATTTATATATGTACATTTACTTGCTTTTGCAAAGAACGAGCATTATTCTGTTTTTTTTTTCAAATAAAATATTAGAATTATACAATTTATATATTTGTAATAGTTTAATCTCTTCAAAAAATTATGAAATAATTGTGCTGAAGACAATATTTTAAATTATTTTTTAGGAAACTGGTGCATCTTCAGTTAATGAATTGGATCAGAGAATGGAAAAAGATGATAGTAAGAGTATTGCTAGCGGAAGTATTCAAAATTCGCTTAGTTCTGAAGAAACTAATATTGCAGAAACAAGTACTATATCAGGCGAAGCCAACCCTGAGAAACAATCTGTTCAAATACAGGTTGATAAACCACGCAACAAGGATGCAACATTATGCAAAATTTGCTTTAATAGAGAATTACGTATCGCATTTATACCATGCGGACATTTATTGACGTGTGCAGAATGTGCTAGTAATATGAAAATATGCGGTATATGTCGTAAGGACATTGAAATTGCTGTACAAGTGTATTTGTAGGAATGTCTTATCTTTGTAACATTCCATGTGAATTGTGCAGCAGAATTTTTTATCTATCGTTATGAAAACTGGCACTTTAAAGCAAAACTAAATCACACGATTCATGTAGCATGTAGATCAACAGATGTTATTGTATCTGTATGTTACATGAATCGTGTGATTTAGTTTTGCTCCGCCATAGAAAGCTCTTGTTAGCTCCTTCTTCCTTCCTCGGTCCTATTGTCCGTGACTCAGCGTTGTGACTTCTCTTATATGCCTGTGATGCACATTTTGATTGTACACAGTCATAAGAGACTTACAATTTAATATCGATTCCGAACGACAATTTTGTTTTGAGAAGTGTACATGGGAAGAAACTCTCCATATATACTCTATATATACTCTCCAGTGGCAACTTGTAGTATTAAGTGAATCGCACCCTAACATTTGTGAAAATAATTGTTTTCCAAGTAATCCGAAATAACTTTTTAAACAATATTACAAATAAATAATACCTTATAATACTTCATATTTTTTTTTCTTTCATGGTGTTTTATCTCTCATGAGATATAGCAATATTAAAACAAAAAATAGAGTAAAAAACGGGCAATTAAGAGCCTTCATACGCGATAATTGATAAACGATTATCATATACACATATTTTGATTGTATCTATTACAAGATTGTATTTATTAAGAGCTTTAATATGCGGTAATTGATGCGATTATCACATATACATAGATTTCGATTGTATCTATTACATAACTATGTATATGATAAGGTTCTTAATTGCTCGTTTTTTATTCTACTTTTTATTTGTTTTAATATTTCAAGAGCCCAATTTGAATTATTAATTTATTTTTGATATATTATAGCAATATACGTGAAAAAAGTCACGCATATATGAGGGTGCGTTCCATTTCGCACATAATGCCTGATCATTTTTTAAAGCGATTCTTTATCCTTCTTAAATCCTTCCTAAAATCCTTTAATATTTATGCTCATTTCCACCAATGTAAATTAACTTCAGCTTACTTCATTATTTCAGATTAATTTTAATCTCGATTCAACTTACTCTTTGTCTTTTTCTAATCTTTAGAACTAAAAAAAGACGAAGAGTAAATTGAACTGAGATTAAGTTAAACTACATTGGTGGAAATCGGCATTAGTGAACACAAAGATAAAATGATGCCATCATGTGCACGAAACGCATCCCAATACATCCTTGTATATTCCAGTTGCAATGTCACTTTGACTTTAAGCGAGACTTAAAACTCTATCTGTCTTGTTTTAAAGCAAAAAGACTTTGAAGCCTCGCTTAAAATCAAAATAACGTTGGCATTCGGGCCTAAAAGAGTAATAAACTAGTATTACGGTACTAATTTCATAATTTATTAGTTTCGTAGACATGTACATATGTTTAAAACTTAATAATACTTGATTTTTATTTAAAACTTATTTTAATGATATCCGATTTGATTATCAAATCATAGAGATGATAATTGCAGAGGAAAAAATTGTAATCTTTCGACAATATATAAGATATTATATTATTAAAAGTATGCATATTTATTTATACAACTTTTTTTTATATAATAAAAAAATCACGAAATTAATAACGTATCATCGAAATATTTATGTTAATTATCATAAATTTTTATTAATTGTCGGTAACGTCATCGTTCTTTAATTATCCTCGAATTCCATTGATAGTCATAAAAAACTTGTCTAGAGCTGAGAGTCATTGATAGTATCTCGTCGGTACTCATGGTTACACTCATTTATTGTGAAATCCATTCACATATACACTAATCTATATGTTTATCTTCGTTTCGAGTAGATAGTGTTATAAAATGCAATTCAAAAAAACAAATCGGGTGTTCATAATAATTTGTCCCTAATTTGCACACGCTATTATTAAAATGTCATTTCAATATAAATACAATTATATATTAAATTATGTAAAAGATTGTGAAAAACGTCATGACCGATTAATGGAATTTATGATCTCGAGCCTACGTCAAAGCTGCTGTACTTTGACCCCTAATTGATCAACGAGTTTTAAGACTGTTATTTCGTCGATACTTTTATTGACTTTCATATACAACAATCATGTCGGATACCGTTAGTCCTATTAAATATTTCTTGAGCGGTGGATTTGGCGGAGTATGCACTGTGATAGCTGGCCATCCTCTGGATACCATAAAGGTGAGGTTATATTTTAATTGACAGCTTATTAAAAATTCAATGTAAAATTGACAAATTGCTTCTCTTTTTCTTATCTATCATTCTGTCTAAATATTGCAGTTTGCTTTCTACAAGAATGTTTTGTAAGACATTGCTCTATGTATTTAGGTACGGCTCCAGACGATGCCAGTTCCAGGACCTAACGAATTGCCTCTCTACACTGGTACATGGGACTGTGCTAAGAAAACAATCACCAAAGAAGGAATACGTGGTTTATATAAGGGTATTTATATTGTATTGAACATCACATGAATATTACGTCAAGCTTTTTCCAATTCAATATCGAGATTATAAAAAAAAAATATAAATATAAATATTTGTATAAAGTCTTTGCTAAAGTTATTGCTATAAACATATATATACATCGACATTTTGATAATTATGTCAACTGTATAAACTAAACTAGAATTTAATATTTTGGAATTTCTAAAACATTATGTAACATGATGTATAAATAGTATTCAAGTGACACAACCAGGTCTATAGTTATCATAAGTAAAGATATAGTTAGTACATTCATGAATTATTTATATCTCAGGGACTTATATATTTTTGAAAGGAAATTATTAGGTGTTGGAATTAATTCGTAGCGTTTTTTAATGAAAGAATGTTATTTATTTCACATGAGCATTAAAAAATACATTAATGAAAGTACTTCCCATCACTTGTAAAACGCTACGAATTAATTCCAACACCTAATATTAATTAGAATTGGATTTTATTATTTGTTCAGGCATGGGTGCACCATTATCTGGCGTTGCTCCTATATTTGCGATAAGTTTCTTTGGCTACAGTGTCGGAAAGAAGCTGCAACAGAACGTCCCAGATGAGAAACTCACTCCATTACAATTATTTTATGCTGGTGCATTTAGCGGTATATTCACGACTATTATAATGGCACCTGGTGAACGTATTAAATGTCTGTTGCAAATACAGCATGCAGACGCAAAGCCAAAATATAATGGACCATTGGATTGCGCTAAACAATTGTATCGAGAAGGAGGCATCAGAAGTATCTATAAAGGCACCTGTGCTACATTGTTAAGAGGTATCATACTTTGTTATATACAATTCTCAAAAATTATGTATATTATTTATAAAATTATGTTTAAAGATGTTACACTGCATATATCAAGTAGAAGTTTGCCAGAAGAATTAAAATGGAAATTTTTACATTTATTATGTGTCTTAAAATGAAGGATTAAGTATATTTTTAGAAAAGGAAATAGATTCTAAAAATTTTGAATGTATTTTTCTTTTATTAATTCTCTGTGTATATCGACAAATACATACAATTTGAAAAGAGAGATTAGCTAACTGATATTGTTATCCTCTTCAGAATTTCTCGTCTTTAAAAATTTTCGAAGGTACCTTTTCCTCGGGCTTCTGCATTGTAAACCACCTTTGCGCAATGCATAGAAAACACCCCAATTCTGTAATCGTTTCGGCGTTGAACAACGTGGAGCTGTTTCCTTATTTCTATTTACCTAAAAATGGTGTTGCATAAAGTTATTGCTAATAATTTTTATATTATTAATATATTAATATTTATTAACATATTTCCTGATATATTAATTCTTCTCTATTTACAATTAAGTCATAAATAGCTTTAAACAGTAAAGATCAAATATGATATTAATAATTATAAATTACCAGATTAGGATTCCAGCTAACCATGATGCACGCACAATCCCAAGGATTATCGTCCAATCTTATATTTTGGACACGCGTTTGTTTATTTGGCAATCTCAAATTTCTAAAGAAATCTAAAGGTAGTGAAGTTAATTTGTTCTTTGTAAGTATAATATCTCTCAATTCCTTCTGCTGTTGAGCAGTGAATAAACCAGGCGGTATAGATTCCAGATCGTTATTTGATAAGTCAATTTTCCTAACTTTTTCCAAACCATAGAAGGCATCCATAGAAATTTGTTGAATATGGCAATGACTTAAATCGAGATCCAACAAATTACTAAGGTCGACAAACGCATCAAAATCGATGCTCGAGATGTTTCCTCGCATCTTAAGATATGTCAACGATGGTAATCCTTGCATGATAAAACGTTCTAATATAGGTATCTCTAGATTGTACAAGTGTAATATCTCAGCTCGACGTAAACCCAATAACGAATTCTTCTGCAGTTTCAGTTTAGATGCCATACCTCCGAGATACAATTTTATTGTCGTATTCATGATCTCAAAAGTACTGAAATGAACATATGATAATTTTCTCAGATTTAATCATGGAAACGCAAATCACGTATAGTATTATTTATTACCTTGGAAAAATGGAATCCAGAGGGTTGTCCGTAAAGTCAGCGCTCACGAGTGCAGGGAAAGGTGGAAACGATAACTCTGACAGGAACGTTAAATTATTTTGTCTTAAATCCAGATGTTCTAATAGAAGCAATCCTGCCAGATCCACGCTTTTCAATGTCAGTAATTCGTTGCTTGCCAGTGAGAGTGATCTTAAATTTGGTGTGCCGTAAAAGCAAAATTCAGGAATGAATTTCAGACCGTTTTTTTCTAGCGAGAGATAAAGAAGACTATTGAGGCCGTCGAATATGTGCCAAGATATATCTTTCAGGTTACAATCGTAAATTCTTAGATGCGTTAAAACACCGAGCGCAGCAAACAGTTCAACATTTTCTCTGTAGCCTTCCAATTCTTGTTTATAAATGTCATATGGCAGTATTTCTTTATCTTCGTTATTCTGTTGACTCAGAAAAATAAGTCTGTGACCTTTGTATTGGCTGCTATTACTTACAGACACCTGGTTTTCGTCGACTGTCCTCTCCGTTTCCTGCGAGTTCATCGGTTTGATCACCAGATTTGCCTTGTCCTTGTTTGGTAAATTTAAGTTCGACAATTTAACTCGTTCCAAATTTAGATATAGTAAAGTAGATCCTAGAGGATACATTGTGTCAGATGCGAGAATAATGCCGCCTTTTTCTGTACGATTACTCGTCTCTTTCATGGAGAAATCGCTATAATCTATTCCTTGAATATCTAGCGATATCAATTCGGTGAATCGTTGGAATGTAGTAGCTTGCAGAAGAATATCGACATCTCCGCTACCCGATTCGAGTAATGTCAAAACCTGATAAAACGCCAAGATAAATTGATGTGAGGGATATATAAACTTATGAAATTATATGTGCTTTTAATTATATGTCACCTGTATATCTGAAGGAAGTTTAGTCAAAAGTTCTTCAGGGTTATCAACAATCACGCATGTTGCGATTTTCATCAGTTCATGAGCCATTGAATTGTCGTTTATATTAAGATCAGCACCATCGGAAAGTATATCCTGTTTGATTGAGAATGTATTAAAATTATGGAAACGAATACTATAGAAGCGTTGATTGTCATTTACTCATACCTGATTATTATCTCTGTTTATGCCAGCCCATTGATGCAGAGACAGGTCGGAATACTTTTGGATCTCACAGGTACATCCCTGCGGGCATTTAATCTCCCACACATCACCGATATCGATAACTTGTCCTATACACTGATCCTGAATACAACGCAATTCGAATCAATGATTTTATATTGTGATAGAAACTTATAGATTTCTTGTGGTTTTTAATCTATAGCGTTGAATTTAGTTTGAGTATAGAATAATTATTTTATGTATTTTAGTATATTAAGATTGATTCATAATTGGTTCATAATTGGTTCTTATTTTTAGATTGTCTTAAATATCTTAAGATGCATTAATGTGGTTTTCTGGTTCATGACATTATAAGTACTTAAGACAGTCTTAAATATAAGAATTGACTATGAATCCGATCTGTGATTGCCTAATATTTTAAAATTGTATTTAAGACGGTCTTAAATATAAGGACTGATTATGAATACCAGCCTGAATGTGTCGACACGCGTCACGTATACAAAATAATTACATAGAAAACGAAGTCGAATTTATTAACGGAGCGTACGACAAGGTGTTAAAATTTGTATGTACCAATGATAAGATGATGAAAAGCAAGATAACAAATGTCATGTTGTTTCACTTTATGATGATTTTGAATCGAAGCACGATACTCGGGACCAGCGGCAGCACACTGGCCCGAAGGAAACTGGATTTTGTTAACTGTTATCTATATGCTTTGATGTGCTTCCTATCAAACAGGATGCCTTCTATCTGCCAACCCACATGTTATCTACTCGCTATTATTAATTCTACATAATGTTTATATGCCATCTTTGGTTCGCACAAGGATATTTAAGCTAATTTACTATGCCTCCATGCTTTTTTTCAGATATTCCAGCCAGCGGAATGTATTTTTTAACATACGAATATCTAAAGGAACGATTTACTCCAGAGAGTGGGAAACTTAGCTTACTGGCCACTATAACGGCTGGCGGTTTTGCAGGCATTGCGAACTGGTTGGTGGGAATGCCACCTGATATCCTGAAAAGTCGCTTACAGACTGGTACGTATATAAGAGTATTCTAAGAGTCTCTTTTTTTATCTTTCAAAATTCTGATTAAAATGTATTAAAGTAATTAACAGATATAAATATGCAATGTAATATTTCTTATCGTACATTATTACACAGCACCAGAAGGTACGTACAAACAAGGAATACGCGAAGTATTTGTTAAATTGATGAAAAACGAGGGACCAATAGCACTTTACAAGGGTGTCGTACCCGTTATGTTACGAGCTTTCCCTGCAAATGCGGCCTGTTTTATGGGCTTCGAAATTTGCATGAAATTCTTGAACTGGATTGTTCCAAATTTATAATTTAAATTGAATAATGTAATTAGAATTTTTGAAAAATATTCTAGAGATTTGTTGTTCCCTTTATACTATAATTCGTATTCGATAGATGCAAAGTGATTAATTTTACCGTGACAGAAATAAATTACAATAAAATAAAAATTTAGATAAGGCTAATGAGAGTCATACGCTGATATAAAAGCGAAGAGATAGGAGAAGCAGATAATATTCAAGTGTTGATGGTTATCTTCATTTATTTCATTTCGAACCATCAACACCTGTGTTTAAATTATATATATCTATTCTTGCCTCTACAGCTTTATATGTATGTATATATCGAGAATATGTCTCAAAATGATGATATATGTATTAGGACAATTTTGACTTTAATTTGCCAATTATGCACATGAGAAACAAATGAAAGTATAACATCAGGGTATAATATATATTTGTGTACTCGTTTTGTAAAGCGTTTCAAATATATATTCAATGTTGCGAACATATCATATATCGTAATATTAATAATTCTTAAGTATGTATTGAAAGACTGCTCAACAGCCTCAATGTGTTTAAATTTTAATATTACAAATTTATTGTGTATTATACAATTTGAATATAAAACTTTATTAACGTAACAGTATATATACATAACAGTATATTAGTTACATTCGTATATTGTACACTTTATCGTATATTAAGAAATGTACAATCAGGATTTTAATGGACTAATTTTACTTTTGTAATATACTTTATGTACAAGACTTTTCTGAGGAAGATCGTACACAAAAAATATATATATATATATGTATATATATATATATATGACAAATGAAATAAATATACAAAAATAAATGTAAGTAAATAATTATAGATAATTATTGGGGAAATGTATTAACGTACAAAATAAAATTTTCTATTCTGTTAATTTTTTTTTTCATAACAATTTTTCTCATCCCTTCAAAAATTTTGTAATTTATTCGCTCGTAAACAGTCGCGTAATATTTGATCGAACTATTGTATTATCAAAATTATATATCCACAAAAAAATATGATTAGCAGAGTTACGGGATGAGAAAGTAAAAATCAAATAATTTTTAGATCTGAATAAAAAAAATAATATAACCAGATCTGTCTATCCTCCTCTATTTCATTGAATTTATCCAATAAAAAATTCCCCTGAGTCTTTTCATGCGCGGATGTTGTCATTTATCATGATCATTTACCATAATGCAATAGCACGCTGTTCTATCAATTATCACAATAGTAGTGATCACTCTTCCCAATCGTCCGTATCAGGTTGAGAGTCGTATTCGCTGGTGGCGGAATTTCTATCTGACGCAGATGCTTCAGTCGGTTTCGGAGGAGGCGGTATTAAGCTCGACATTCTCTCCAAAGCGCCTACCGTAGAGCCAGCGATACCTTTGCGTCTTAACGCTAGTTTTGCATGTAGATCTGCCATCAGATCACCTCCTACCGAAGCTGAAGACCATCGATCACGCTTCTTTTCGTCCGGTACAGTAGGCCTTAATTTCGCTCTGCCTATTCCACCAGCGTCTCGTATTGCCGCCATCAAATTAGAACGATCATCCGTTGTAGTTGCCATAGGTGGACGATTCGGTGTTTTGTTCTTTTTCTCCGAACCATCATTTGACGTAGGCACGGTCGGTTCTGCAATCGGTGGCGGTGGCGGCGGTGGTGGTGGCGGCGGAGGTACCATAACTTGAAAACTGATTTTTTCGTTGCTCACAGCACTATCTGCATTTATGGTGACCGTAGGAGGTGGTGGAGGAGGCGGCTCAGGTGATGATGCAGTTGTCAAAGCTCCAGTTAAAACAGGCAAGTGTGGAGCACTATCTTCAGTCTTCGACTGAGAGTCTCTCTCGTCACTGATTGGCGTCGGTAGATCTAAACGAACAGTGGGCGTCGTGACCGCAGATGATGGTGCGATAGGACTTTGGGAATTAAGATCGAGCACAAATTTCTCATCATCCACAATGCCTGGTAAATCTGGGAGTGTTAGCGGTACATTTATTTGAGGAACCTAAAAATACACAAGAATCTTCTGTAAGAATAAATCGTAAATTCAAATAATAAATATAAATGTTTTCAAATTGACAAATTATATTATTAAATGAGTTAATGTATTATATGAAAATCTGACCTCTCCAAGAGTCGGGGTATACAAATAGCTGGAAGACGCATCCATTTCTGACGAAAGCCACGGTTGTACAATTGAATCTGGAGCATCCTCAATTTGCTGCTTGTTGACAGACTGATGTGATGATCGCATGGACGTTTTTTCGTACGGGCTATCCATACTATCGAACAGTAGAAGGGCACTAACTGAAGATAATTGTGGTGGGAATGGTTCTACGTCATTCTCAAGGTTATCTTTTTTGCCAGCCTTTGATCGTACGTGATAAAATTGGAGCTTTTCTTGGAGACTGACATTCGCGGCATATTGACCGTCCTCGGTCTTGCAATTAGAAGATAAATATGCTTCGGGGATATCCTTTATAGGCACGGAACATTTGTAAATGCTTGGTATAGCAGTGGTATGCTCGCGCTGTGGTGGTATAGTCATTTGATACTCCTTGTAAGCGTGATTAGCCGGATATTTAGCAGCAGAATACATTTTTACCGCTTTCAAATTTAAATTAGTTTGTAAATAGTGCAATCTATCCTCCAACTTCCTAGCTCTCTCTTTAATATTGGTCAATCTAAAGACAAATTTATTCTTTAGTAAATGTTATCGTTGGATCAATCAAATGTATAATTAAACAAGGCAATTGAATACAACAGTTATATTAAAAATCAAAAGATATTTTTTTTATTTTACCTTTGTGTGTTCTCCGAAAGCCTCCTGTCAATGCAATCAAATATATATGAGACAGCATCACCCAGATTGTCTAGAGCTTCTGCTATTTGAACTATAGTCTCTTCGTGTCTCAAATTACTTGGAATAATACCTGAAATTGGCAAATAACCAAATATATCAAATGCAATATAATAAAATATATAATAAAACAAATACTATATATACGTATAAAATATATGTTGTTTTATACATATTTTATATGTATGTATTAATGTGTTGCAAGATAAACAATCGAATTTAATAATTAAATATAAATGTAAAATTCAACAATAATTATAAACATTTACATATTATTTTTAACGAAAATATTTCCAATTCAAAAAAATCATTTAGATATGTATGCTTTAATTATTTTATTTTTTTCTTCGTCCTTGATATAAAATTATACACCATTCTGAATCCTTTTATCTCCTCCTTTCTCAACTAACTTCAGATATAGCCTGGATTGCTTGCCCATATTTTTTAAAATAATCCTTTTATTACTTTCTAAATTCTGAAGCGTGGAATCTCACTCTAAAGAATGAAAATTGAGCCAGTTTCGAAAAAGAGTGACATTCATTCCCAAAGTTTTAGAGAATAGGTTATGTTGTATCATGTAAATAAAATGAACGTGCGGATTTGTACGTCGCGAGCGGAAAGTACCACAAAAGCCGGGATTTCACGTACCAATCTCGATTCGTTCTGGCATCTTGGTCCCGGCGGGAGATAATAATCGCAAAGATAATAATGTCTCACAAGACAATAATGCACATCACATATCATGGAACGTCGACTGCGATTTGCGAGGTGCCGACGTGTCCTGAATTATGACACGCGAATATGCAGATTACGTTAATTCCTTGGTTATCTCAGCTGTACGCTGCATGACAGTGAATGACATCCGCCTCAGATCATATTTCTTAAATTCAACGACGAACTGTCATTGTGAGCATGGTGGAAAATTTGATTGGCTAGCTGATTGCTCTGAAATCTGAATTGTCGTTTGTCTCACCCATGCCATGCGCCATGATGTAAACAGAATGTTTCATTGCATGTGTGTGTGTGTGTGTGTGTGTGTGTGTGTGTGTGTGTGTGTGTGTGTGTGTGTGAGATGATGGTGGAGTTAAATAATCAAAATTTAGTCTCAAATACAGCTCGACTGCGCAATACTAGAATAGGTGGTAGGTTCGTTTCCAAGATTAATGACTCGTGAGTAAAAGAAAAATACTTGCTGTATACAAGAAACATAAAGAAAACTCTTGTGAAAAAAATTTTATATATATATCTCATATTTTTTAAGAATTTTTTAATTTTAAATTTATGAAGATTTCTAATAGAATATTCTTTAAACTCTCTCAAGTTTTATAATAAGTTTTCTTCGGAAATTATGGAATGAGAAAATAGAAGACTTTAGAATTTATTTTATATTCGATTTATATTCACACACATATACAAATAAATTTAAATTATAAAATCTGAAGTATTTTAATTCATGTAAAAAAATCTGAGAAATTTTATAAAAGTTATACAAAATTATGACAAATTTTGAAATTTATTTTTTCAATGTAGAAATTCTGAAAATTATCTGGAAAATTCCAAGAAAATTTTCATCAGGAAAATACTTGATTTACATATATTGTTAGTAAACCCACTTTAATTTCGCATTCTTTTAAATATTTCAAATGAAATCTTCATGCATTGCAGATTTTTCTTATTTGGAGCGATATCAGAGTTTTAGGATTATCGGATGTAAATAAAATGTAAAGGAGCATCGAAATATGTAAATAAATACAGTGAATATATCATCAACTTATCATGTTAAAATTAAAACAATATATAGTTACATTATACATATACATTTTTTTCATTCGAGCAAATTGTAAATTTTTTGCTTGGCTTAGCGTTTAGGATCACGATAAGAGACATTTACAAGAACATAAAAACTTTATTGTGGTCCATAATATCAGGTATAGCAGTTACACTTACGGAGAATTGAATATCTAAATGTTTAACGCTAATAAGATGAAAAATCACGAGAATATACGACGCATAATTCCAGTAAATAACTTGTCCGCCAATATGCTAGCAAATTGGTAACAAATTCGATGAAAAATTGCTAGCAAATTGGTATCGATTGTATCCACATTAAGCTCGTGTTTCGCCGGCTGAGCCTGCTGACATAATGTGATAGCAAATTGGCAGTAGAAATCGAGTAGAATCTATCGAACGTGGATTTTACTCTATTTCTGAGACGAACTGTGTAAGAAGTGTGACTTCTTCTGAAATTTACTTGATTTCTGTGCCATCAATTTGCCATCATATTTCATTGAGAAATTTTGCTAGATATTTCTGCTAGCATTTGTCATAAACATTGTATATATACCACATCTTGTATCAAAGTAATTATATATAATAATTTTTTTGTCGAAAATTTATAGCAGACACTTTGTAGAATTTGTTTTCGACAGACTTGGCTGTCTGAGATCTTTTCTTCTCCTTTCTGACTGAACATTTTCGATAGTATTCATTCAAATCGAGATGATAATATCATGTGAATCTAGCTTGCGGTAACAATCATTCTCACGACGAGTCACAACAGAAAAATACGGAAAACATCGACGATACTGGACGGACTATACACTCTCGCATTACGAGGCTGATAGACGAGATATCTAGCGATTTAAAATTGTAACGTAATTTTTTTTAAATGCTACATTTGTTTATTCGCTAAAATACTACAATTATTTACACGATAAACAAGAGTACACGATTATGTTACGCAGATATCGCCGCAAATAAATTGACTTGAAGCACGTTGCTATTATTAAATATTCTATTTAAGGAATTAGGCTTAAGTTTACAGCCGGGAGAGCTAAGAAAATGTATGATCTAATCGTTTGTTTCTTTAATTCAGTCACTTCCTTTTCGCATAATCTCCTGCAGAGATAACGCAAGAATTAGGAGTCCAATGTACTTTTTTTACATGAATACTGCATTACTTTATTGGTATAATAATAGTATAATTCTTCTTTGCTTAACTACTGAAGAGGTCGAAGGCCCGTATATTTACATGACTTATTTGGGACTGCAATTAAATTCGTTTCTGAATATTATTTATTCAGTAAGAAAAAATTGCATCTATTATGAGATTAAACGAGGGTTAATTAAATCGTATTAAATCATAATTAATTAAAATCGTATACCTGACTCTTTGACGTTGAAAGAAATGCAAGACCGAGGTCTGAGATATTTAAGTGCATCAGACAATATTATGCAAAACATTACTTTCTTTAACGAAGAAATGTATATATGCATAAGTATCGCATATTAAAAAATAAATACGGTAAGAACACAAAAATATTTCGGAGTAGTAACATGCGCGTGCAATTGCTCGGGCTCGGGAACAAAACTTCTTAATCTCGAGGGAGTTCAAGCACTTGGAGGCTGTGAGCAAATCGCGTCGATGTGGACGTCGATTATGATTAACAAAGTCTTTTCTCCATCTATATATTACAAGTAGAAATTACAACTTAAAGAGAGAGGGGCAATGAATCATTAAGTCAATCGCTGATGTCACCCGCTGATGTGACTCGAAATGCCGATTTCGTGCAAACCGATGTATCAGTCTATATCACAGAAACGGAATTTTCCATTTCGCTTGCAGTCTTTTTCTCCTCGCCGTCGTTGCCATCGTCGTGATCGTCGCCATCGCAGTGATTACGGTCACCGACGTGTTCATCAGGGACTAGAGGCGTATCTTTCGATAAGATCAAGGAGTCCTCACCGATAGGTGCAGCGGCTTCGACTAGATTTTCGACGGACGCCGCCGTCGTCGGTGCCTCGTGGCAGAAGCTCCTACGTAAGGAATGCTGTGTTCTCGCGGTGCCTCTACGTATACTGCTACGAAGCAGATTCGCCACGTCGGCGGCCGTTAAGTTCGAACTGGACAGAGTATTCGTGGTAGCGTTAGCGCACGACCGGCGACCGCGATCGATCGTCGAGTGAGTACGTTCGATTGTGCGCGATCTGCTCGCGATGCCGATCTTGCTGGCACGGTCGATGGTGTTCGGCCGATGACGATGCTCGATCGTCGACACGTCCATGCCGTGCCGGCTATCGCCAATATTCGTCACGTCCGGCCGCGGCTCCGACAACACGTGGATCGCGACGTGATCACGCGACATCGGCACACCGCTCTGATTCATCTCCACTAGGACGGTCGCATAATCAGGAGGCGGTGGTTGCAACGCCGGCCTCTGTCGCGGCGCGCTGCTCTCCCCCAACACGTTCGCGATCCTCCGCACGCTTCGCCGGAAGCTTTGCCGCAGCATCTTCGCGATCCGTGCTCCAGTCGCCGTAGTATAGCTAGGCGGAGGTGTGTACTTCGGCGGCGGATCCTCGAAAGGTATCTCCGTGGTCGCGGTGGGTAAGATTCCGTTTCCGTGCAAGCTGGTGCTGGTGACATTTCCAATTTGAGTCTGAGCGTCGCGAGGATCTTCTGGATCCATTGGCCGACAAAGCAATTGAATTCTCTGCAAAGATAAAACAGATTGTTTCAATGACGACTGTTGAAAACGAATACGGTACTTAATTCAATGTGTTTTTATACATTTTACTTACAACTTTATGTGTATAATTACTTGTACAACGACTTATTAAACTAATCCCGATAAACACAGAAAACAGTAACATTACAATGTTATAATTTTCTATTCAACACAATGAACTGTTATATGTTCTATTAAATTTATATTGTTGAGTGGGAAATTATAATGTTGATGTAATGTTATACTATACTGTTACTTTTTATTTAACGGGATATTATTAATACATAATAAAGTAACACCGCTGCGACACGTACAACATTAACACAGAAAGAAATTAGTGAGAACTTACGCCGTTACATTGTTCACAATGATTTATTGTTACTGCCACCTGTTCACTCTATTGTCAGCAAGAACAGAAAGAGATAGTGGTAGATATGTTAGTTATTAATTAGCGTATACTAATACTGCTAATAGCATACAGACATTGTACACAGGAGGGAGTGTCTGGTAATAACCGTATCATACTTTGCAAGCAAGAATACTTACATCGAATATATCGGGTGGTCCGTTATTCAAGTATCGACACGCCTGTATGGCGGACACTACCGGTATTATGAGTATCGGTGTCAGTTGAATCGCTGTTCCAAGTTGCCTTGCCCATACAACCCAGTAATCTTTGCTCGTGCGACGATAAGAATACAGTTCCCAGAAGTCACCGCTCTTGAATACTATAATACTCAGAGCCTACGGAATACAATAACGATGACACACATCGTGCTTGACTGCGTCCCAATAGCTTCGTCGTGTCTAACAAGAACTGACTTACCATTAAAGTAAGGGGGAGAACAACGGTCCACGTGAAGGAGAGGAGAGGGGCGGCCCAGTACTTGAGATATCGTCCACTTGGTGGAAATAATTCGGCGACGACTGCCTCGCCGGAATGTGGCCGTCCGCGGATCGCGAACAGAGCGACGATTTGTATTAGATATAAAAATATTATCCACCATGCCCCGCCGACGGTGTAATCGAGATAGTACACGACATAAATACCCAACTGCAAACACACACAATGACATATATAATGAAGATAACTTAGAGCAATTATATTTATTAGAATTATTATGAAAATATACATATAAAAATAAAAGTATTTTTTTTTTAGTTTTAATGGTAAGATGGTAATTGGATAATTTCTATTTAGTAATAGTAAATATAATAAATATATATAATATTCTCATTAACGTGATTACCGTTTATTATCATCAATTTTCATCATTACTATCATTAAAACTATTACAGTTTATTAAGCTACACTAATGATATTGTCGAAACACTCGTCTTTATATTCTTCACTTGTATATCTAAAAATATAACGTTATTTTTAGTATAACCGGAATATCTGCTCAGTATAGTATGAGGAATAAACATATACAGTCCAGATTCCTTATCGGGATTCGAAACATCTTTATCTCGGCCCACGGTCTTCACGATTTTCCTAACATCGTTTGCAGGATTATCTTGGTCTCGTAGATTTACGACAGCTCTAAGAATGCAGGGCCAATCCAGTAAGGGATCCCACTTTCCATTCTCTACGCGCAAACATCCGATAATGTGACGATCCTTCCACTGTCCTCTACCGTTCAAAAACAATTCCATTCTCAGAGTGTAACCATATTCCTTGTTGTGAAATATCGGACTATAGAGCGCGCGATCGCTTTCCTTTGCCTCGCTCATCTTTTCTTTGTAACGATCGATTCGCCATATAATATGGCCATTCGTTGAGGCACTCTCCACACCTTCGCAGGAACATGAACTCAACGATGGTTCCGGTCTACAGTTCTCTGCTATTAGCTCTTCGATATATTTCAGATTCTCCTTCATTTGAAACTTTAAACCTTTTATCTCCAATTTCCGTTTGGCCACGCTCTCGATATGCTTACAGATTTCTTCCGACAAGCTATTCACCTTTTCTGATAAAGTATCATGTTTAGATATTATTTCCTTCATATTCTTACATCTCATTTCCAATTCCAATTTCAAATCGTTGATACGTTGCGAATTTTCCTGCCATATATCGCTCGCGCGTATGCTCTCCTTAGCGACGAACGTCTTCACGTCTTTCAATTCCTGGAACCAATCGTTTGGCGTGCACACGTGTTTGCCTTGCTCGTCAGTCAATTCTCCCTCCAGTAATTTGAGCTGCTCAGAGATTTGTCGTAAATTCAAGGTAGTGCAATGTTGTATATCGTCAGTAATCATCTCCAGAGTATTCAACCTCCGATTCAATGCTGTGTGGTTACTGCGAAATTCTTTGACCGCTTCCTCGATATTCAATTGCAATGCGGCGAAAGATTCCTGTTGAGAATGCAGTAGACTTAAATTTCTAGAGAGATCATCCTGCAAACGAATTCGCTCTTTTTCTCCCTGATCGATGGCTAAACGTAACAACGTCAGTATCGAGAATACTTTTTCTTTCCACACCGAATCTTGGATATCCTTTATTTGACTGTTTTTCATCGATGTTCCCTTGTTGCATATTTGCTCGTGTACTTCCAGGTTCCTGCGAGGAACGTAAACCCCGCATTTATTCGGACATTCCTCCAAGACCGCCGCGCAATGTGTTATATGCTCCGTTAAATATTTCTCTTCCAAAAATTCATTGCAAAAATAACAAGGCACGCTGCGACGCACTACCGAATGAACGTTATTACTCATCTTCCGTTTTAATATGAACGCTCTATGCGATACTAATATGCCTCACTTGCAAGACTAATATGCCGGAGCGAACTAAAATGAAGTGCTGATAACAATTCTCTGGAATGAAAGATTGTACGCTCTATCTGATAAGAACTGGGAACCTTATCCAAAGACAGAGATAATATTATAGATATACCCAAGTTACATAGCTGAATCACGCACGTAACATGTTAACATACTGCGTAAATGAAAATTCGGTATCTTCATGTGACTCATATACGTATAATTAATAACGTAAATATTTGCGTGTGTCGAGTACAATCATGTTTTATTAAATAAGATAATAAATTTATCAAACATTTGTTATCATCTCCAATTGAATTTAACAAATTTCAACATACCTCCGTAGCCATAGGTAATCCGAGTATGTAACCACAAGCACAGCTAAACAACGTGATCGTGGTCTCCCAGAGCTTCATCATTTTCGTATTGATCGCCATTATACCAGTTATTACACAATGCCAGATCGCCAGCTAAAATATTGACAAAACTTTTTAAGTATATCTTCTTGATTATATATTTCCCACTAAGGTGACGATTATATTTTTTAATTGTATATTTATAGAATCATATTTATAGTATCTCTTACATCGAGTATATATGAGGAAAAGCTTATGTACCTGTTGTGCGATTCCAAATGAAATGAGAATGAAATAAAACAGGACTGCCCAGAACGGCGACACCTGTTCAGTGCCTAACAATGCCAGTGTCGAAGGCACCAATTCAGTGGCTAACCGTAACACCTGGTATCCGGACTCGGTACTTGTATCCACGCCAGGTCGTATTACGCGTTGTCCAAGAAGAAACGATGCGTGAGACATGAATCTCTCTGGCGTGATACTATATCCTGGTGGTGCTGGATCATTGGCAACCCTTATAAACGAATACCCTGATATTCTCTCTGTGAAATCATCCGAGAATTATAAACTTGTGCGAATACATCCCGTGTAATGTTTCCGATTGCTCGAGATAATATAAAATGGCTGTTTACCGAAAGAACTAGTAGTGTAGATGTAGCCGTGAAGCCTGAGGATTTGTACGCAGGTATTCGCGAGGAAAGCCACGAGAAAGAGGACCACAAACGTCATGATTACCACGAGACTTATATCGCGCTGTAGGAGATGCTTGTGCTTGTTATGAGCCGCTATCTGAAATTGGTAGTAATCCAATGTATTTCAATGAGCAACTACCGATTGCATCGTTTAAATGTTACGGTCAATCAAAGAATAATCATAGGAGAAAGTAAGTTGTACTCGTTAAATAATCATCATAAGATTGTAAGCGACGATACCTGCATAGCAGCCGCACCGAGTAAACCCCATGTGAGGAAGACCTCGTTCGAGGCAGCCACCCATGACTTCCCATTAATAAAGAATTCGCTCCAAACAGTGGCAGGGAAAAATTGAAACGATCCCGGCGGAATAAGTCCGATCAGTTTCGCGCAAAGGACTAACGTGCCAAACACGGGCGCTAGTGTGAAAACGTATACAACTTTTCCGTAAGATCTCAGTCCTAAATTAAAATAGAAATGATCAAAATTAAATCTTTTGCGATGCATTGAACCAAGGTGATGATTTAAGGTCATGTGAAATATAATAGCAATAAAAATTTTCCTCTCTACGCATCATACAAAGATTAACGTTTTCCAACAATTATTTAATTAGATCTTTCAATATTCCTTTTTTTTTATTTTATAAAAATCAATACGTTAAAAAAGAATGTCACAAAAAGCTAGCGAAAGAAACTAGTATAAAAAAATTTTCATGTCCCTTTTTTTTGAAAAGAAAATTCACCTTTACTCAGTGAAACAAATACAATCATCCACACAACGGCTAAATTGAAGGCCACTTGGAACTTCAACGTGACGACACCAGGATTAGTGTCAGTCAAATGATGTCTTTGCAATACAGCACCGCTGAAGTAATCCGGAACAGTCTCGTATAATTTGTACGAAGCGGTGATGTTGTGTGTGAAACGGTCGTCTCGATAGAGAAGAAACGGCTCCGCCCATCGATACTTGTCCTGCTTCGTTATGAATGAATCTCTGCAATCAATGTACCACGCATTTTGTCCTACTTGATCAACACGGCATGACATTTTGATATTGCATCCACCGATAGAGGAGCCTAGAGACTCGAAAGAGTTATTGAGATCATCGCGTTGAGAGCATAAATGTATATTAATTTCACATTGTTTCTAGGACGTGTCTCTAGGGCTTGTGAGTTTCATTATTTCTTTTTGACCTACTAAACTTGGAATATGCAAATTTAAATACAATTATGTTCGTTAAATTTCATCAAAACTTAAAATGACATCGATCAAACTTCAATTAACTTAATCAAAATATTTTCACTATTTTATTAACATAAACATATAGAATTACGCATTAAAATTAATATATATAAACACGAATAAATAGAGTAGATAAAGTAAAGATAGCGTAGATAATTTTTCCGAACGAATGCGAACTTGCTGAATATGGCCATTCAAACTGTTTATAAATCTCATACAAATAACAAATTACGAATCTTGAATCTTGAATTTTGAACGAACCTCACTTAGTTTGGCATTAATTTAATCCTTCTTGTGAAATCATATTTTTATTCTCTCCATTTGCAATCTGAATTTTTCTTGTCCAGTCCCAAATTTTGACTTTTCTACTCTCTAAAACTTTTAAAGTGACTCTGAAGAATAAAATCTAATCTTTTAAAGGCTGAAAATTGAGTTACTCTTTTTTCAAGACTGACTCAATTTTCATATTTTAGAGTAAGATTCCACTCCAAAAAATTTAAAGAGTAGACTTTCAAAATATGTATTAGGTGTTGGAATTAATTCGTAGCGTTTTACAAGTGATGGGAAGTACTTTCATTAATGTATTTTTTAATGCTCATGTGAAATAAATAACATTCTTTCATTAAAAACGCTACGAATTAATTCCAACACCTAATAGAAAAATTTAGAATTATTCTTCATGTCATTTTGCTTGAATATATAAAAGACTACAAATTACCAGATTACAAATGGAAGGTAAAGAGATATATTTCAGATGTATTTTCACATCAAGAATTTACCTGAAGAACACAAACATCCACGATACACCGACTATACTGTAGACACCGATAAATGCCTGCGCGACGAGCAGAGCTATCCCGACACCTTGACAAATCGGAGATATACTCCACATGTCCACGGAACCGGCTGCCAATCTTTGTCCAAGACATACTTGTAGTGTTAACAGCGGGATGCCTAATATGAGGGACAAGATCAGGAACTGTATCATGAAGTTTGCTGTAAAAAGAGAAGTAGACATATAAAAAATAAATTAATAAAATAAATTAAATTAATAAGTAGTATATATATATATTTGTGGCTTTAATAATAGATCCAGTACAAGTAAAATAGCGTCGACAAATGGAAAGATAAAGAAGAATCTTTCATGCGAGAGACGAAGGAAAACGTCTTATGATTGAGAAACGTTGCTATACGTGGACGTGGGTATTCGACCGTTTCTTCAATAAATCGGTCATTATTCTCGCAAATAATCGTGGAACTAATTATTGACATTACGAAAGGCATGCTGCGATATGAATTAATATTAACAGCACGGCGCGGCAATTTTATCGGTTCTTGCTCGCTTCGAAAGGTCTTATTTCGCGTTGGCGCCGCATACGTCATGAGGACTCTACAATTTCGCTGAGAGCCGTATATGACCCAGTAATAAATTCAATTGCCAATGTATGAACTGTGTATAAATTTCGCCAGTCATGAGTAAATACGGATAGCATTTTCTGCGTGCTAAGAACATCGAAATCTGACTACATCGAAACGAAACCTCGGTCTCAGTTTCTCGCTGAAACGTTCCGTGAAAAAAATGCGTGTCAAAAGTCTTCTCATCTCATCTACGATCATCTTACGTCGTGAGAGAGGGAATCCAGTGGAATTTTTTAACAAAATCCTTCGAGATTGCACGAACGTTGTCTTATACTATTAAGTGCGCAACTAAGTTCTCGCTGTTATTTTGATGGCATTTCCATCAAAATAACAGCGAGAACTTAGTTGCGCACCTAATATCTTATGTCAGAGCCTTGCATTACTTCAAGATGCAGCCATCCATAGTAAGTAACAAAAAAAAAAACATAACATACTCTCTAAATTCTTTGGAGTGAAATCTCACTTAAAAGAATGAAAATTGAGCCAGTCTTGAAAAAGAGTGACTCAATTTGAATCTTTAAGACTAAGATGTTATTCAGAGTGACAATTCACTCTAAAAGTTTTAAAGAATATAGGAACTTTCCATTTCTTACGTTGTCTTATGGATGGCTATATGTTAAAATAAAGATTCTAACATGAGATGGCATAAGGCAATGTTGCGGTGGCCCTGATGCGTTTGCGGCATCTTTGTGGCTGACGCACGTGTTATGACGCTCACCTCCAAATTGTATACTAAGAATAGCGAATCTGCTGATGTTAAAGAGTCCCAGAGTGCAGCCGAGACACGCGAAGGTCGAACTGAGGGCGTGAGGCCATTTTCCCAGAGGATTCTCGTCCTCATCATCGTCCTCGCTCCTGTCGTTATGCCTGTTGGCATCTCTCTGTCTCTCGCATATCCTGGAACTGATACCACAAAAGCGTATGATTATTAAAAGTAATCAATTAATTAAAAGTACTTCTGTATCAATATATCTATCTCTGATAAATTGTCTTAATTTATTTTAAAACAGCAACGTAATTTCATATTTAAACAACGAAAATGTGCAAAAGCGCAACCAAATCTTTAATTGACGCAGTAAATTTCATTTAAACTTTGTAAAATTAGCAGATTACAGAGATCGCGAGATATCGTAACACGTCTTCATTTTCGATCATAATCTACGAGCTGATGCTGAAGATTTCTGAGATCATGTTAGTCCGTAGTGAAACTAGGTCGAGTACATTTTATCGCGTGTTACTGTCTTAATACGGAAAGAGTCTTATCGCGTCTTACTATAAACTTATCCAGCTGATCTTTTACAGAGATACCCAGACGGATATACTCAGCGGAGCACCCGTACATACGTAACATCCTCGGCTATGTTCAGGATTCCCATCTAAGTATCACGAAAATATTATTTTATCCTTGTTGTTCACCGAATGTTAAACAAAGATATAAAACGATACCATAGACACTTAGGTGAGAATCTGAGCTTCTACGCAGAAGATCGAGCTAAAATTAGCAAGAGAGAAATCTTTGTATTCCCGGCCTAATCACTGTAACAAGCAATCGCATGAATGGTAGGGGTCCTCGTAAATCCAATAAGGCGATTGCCGATGATACACGAAGGAAATCAACAGTGAATTACGAGCCGCGGACTCTATCGTATACTTAACGTGATTATCCCAACGAGGATTTAAATCACGCACGACGGCGGACACACCCGGTAGATCGCGCGCTAATACCGATAACAGATGGACCATCAGATTGGTTACCGTTATCATAAGATGGAGAGGCAAAATAGAGAGACGGAGCATATCATGATCGTTAGGCGTTAAAGCGAAGATTCCTCCGCTCGAGGAGTTTCCGCCAAGTTTCGTCGGTGCATCATCGAGCCACTCCTCCTCTTCAAGAGTCGTGTGTTTATGTGTAAAATGTAAATAATTTTCCTCTACGTGTGTATTCAATGTAAACTACGTAAACTATATGTTTTACGTATCATTTATGTAAACATCTATGGATCATTGAAATCTATGTTCTTTCTCGTTGCACTAAAGCTTCTATCTTGCTTATATTTTTATTTATCAATATTAAAGTCAGATATATTAACAATCATAAAATTCAATAACTTTTTTCTGTACTGTATTAGCTAATTTTTAATAATTTATACATTTACATTGTTTGCACGTCGTCTAACATGAAAAAGATTTGTGCAAACTTAACGTAAACAATACGTAACATTCCACGTAAAGGTAATCTTGAAATATACGATACAATATGTTCACACTTATTATTAAATATAAACTGATAATTGTTGACTGATTATCAAATCTTTCCGATGATTATCAAACTTATATACGTATACTCGAGAAAAAACGATTTTACTAAAGTATAAAAATTTGGCTGGATATAGATCTCAAAAATAATGTTGTTGGTTTATCAAAATAATTACATAGAAAAATCTCAATCATATTGAATAATGTTGTAAAAAGTTTTGATATTCTAACAATCAGTTTGAGTGTCCTAAATCATTATTTTGATAATCCATCAAAATAATTATTTTTAGATTTGTATCTAAATTTTTAGATAATTCAGTAAAACCATATTTTCTGTGTAAGTTGCGTTTCTCTATTCCTTTGCAATATTATACAAAAAGAAATGTTCATAGAATCATATCTAAATGAAATGTTGCGAAATGTTACGTGTAATCTCTATTTAATATAATTCTATTATTTTTATTTAAATTATAATTTTTGTAGAATTGTAATCTATATATAAAACCTCTCATGGAAATATCGGATTGATGCAAAACGTCAAGATTTGAAGAGCAAAGACTTTTTAATTTTATATATATATATATATATATATATAGTATTTATAATCAAGATATTTTAAATTAATATGTACGTGTTTAATTTTAAACTATTTCTTGTTTCTTGGTAAGCCTTGGTTTTTACTTTGAAAAGATTGAACAAATGGCTCTTAGAATAACCTCAAATTCTATGGACCGCTTCTCTGGAATTTACTGAACCATTGTTGATGATCCGTGCGCTTATTAACGCTATTCTCTTCAAACTTCAATGCACATATAGCTCGGGCAGCAGAATTATGCTCAAGTTTAAATTAATACAACATGACTATCCAAACATTTAAATTTTCCATGTTCTACTCACTTTAAAATGAACTTATTAATAAAATAATAAACGATCACTAGTTAATATACCTACATCAATTTTAACTCAGAAGAAATGAGGACATGCACAATGTATATATAATATCTGACTTATATTTAACCATAAACAGTCTCTTTTCGTAAATAACAAAATCCGACATTTTAATCATCTTAATAATAGCTGTATTATTAAGAATAATCTTTCTTAATCTTTGCAGGTATACTAAAAAAAAGTAATATTTACTACTGTAATCGCATGATAAAATAATTATGATTAAGAGCTCCATTTCTATAGTTATTACTGCAATAATATTGTTTACTAATATTATAACAGTAATAACTATAAAAATAAAGCTCTTAACCACAATTATTTTATCATGAAATTATATTCACAAATATGAAGCTTATATTTCTTATCGCAAGTGTAGATTCTGTCTTAATGACGATGTTATTTGATATCGAACTTCTTGTAAAGCAAAAAAAATAAAAGATAGTCATATACGAGCAAATAATTAGATCACCATCTTATAAATTATTTTATGATACACGGATTGACGGCAATTGTGTTGCAAACTATGAATAAATTTTGGAATTTTGCATCATTGATCGCCCATCGATGTTCGAAAAATGAGAGAAATCACGTGTCGCTAACTGCACGATTATCGCGAATACATGTCAATTATGTGCCAATTATAGCAAGCCTTGACAATAAAAAAACAAATCGCTCGCTGTGTAACAGTTAAGATAACACAAATACTAGAAAAATGTTCTTATCGATTAATTATATCGCGAGCTGTACTATTACTATATATATATATATATATATATATATATATATATATATATATATATATATATAAATCAACACATATAGAAAAAGATATCAGAGATTTACTCTCTTATATATATATATATATACGAAATTGTATCTTAAAGATTCAATACGAATTGTGCATATTTCATGTTGAACAGTTTATGCATCTTCGAATTATTAAATTATTTATGCGAATTAGATACAAAAGAATTCCACTGAATGGAATATTAGTTCAACATTTAAGATCTACAATTCTATTTAGCTACAAAAAATTAATGTTTTAACACGAACGTTGTCTTTACGGACAGTTAACTCTTGACCAATCTTTACGAGCATTGTTTGCAGTATTCCAGGAAAGCTCCGTAAAGATTGTCGGCACGGAAGTGTGTTATCGGCTCGGCATCGTCGACGCAATGCCACAAAGTACCAAGAAACAAGCAGTCATTTTTTTTTTTTAATTGACGTCACTGACATTTCGGGACGCACGAAACGCGAGGTCGGAAGGTCGTTAAAAACGGAGGAAGTGACAAAGGGTGAACGGGTTCAGAGAGATCGATACGGTAACCGCTAATGACCGCGAATCCTGAAACCCCTTAACCGATGCCGCTTGCGATTAGGCGCACGCGAGCCGCCATATATTCTTGACACGATAACCACTCTGGTCTCCTTTCCTCTTTCTCTTCCGCTCGCTCGCTCGCTCACTCGCTTAGACTCAGCTCGACTGTGTGCCCGATTTTGCGTGGGTCAGTCCGATCGATCGAGGCTGACCACTTCGATGAAAATATCCTGCGAAACAGTTACCGAAACAGTAAACCGGTGTCTCGACCCGATTAAAACGACAATAAAAATAAAGCGAAATACACGAATCAAATGACGAAAACACGAAAAAAACGATGTTGCTGAAATATCTAAAAATCGAATTAGACATAGATCGGAAAATAATTTTGAACCATCTGTCTTTAAAATCTATAAAATAGAATTTAATTCTAAAAAGCAAATTCTTACTTTTAAAAATTGATAATTAAGTCGCTCTTTTTAAACAGTGGCTCAATTATCTCTCTTTCTTCGACACTGGCTCAATTATTATTATCCTTTAGAATTAAATTCCATTCTAAAGATTTTAAAAAGATCGAAATAATTATGTTGGAAATCAATTCAAGTATAATGAACAATACTACAAAAAATTTTGATACTCTAGCTTGGGAATTATTTTGATAATTTAACAAAAAAAAAAAATAGAATTTTTCAGATTTGTATTTACCTAAATTTGTAGATATTTCAGCGAAACTGTTTTTTTCGTGTATTTTTCGTGTACGAATCAATGCGATCTTATATTATACATCATCAATTACTATTAATTTTCGCGAATATCTCTTTCTCTGCGAGAACTAATAAAACCTAGATCCGTAAAATGAATTTGCAAAATAATGAGAACGTAAAAATTCTTTGCAATTTCACCATTACGAGAATTTGGCAAATTCATTTTATGGATTTATTGGTTCTCGCGGAGAGAAAGAAATATTATCTCTTAAAATATAATTCAGGATATTTTTAGGCACTTTACTTTTAATTTTTATTTGCTCGTACTTAAACGCCAGTCTAGAAAGTGATGAGTTTCGCTCGACAGGACTAACTCAAAGGTTTTGCCTCAAACAAACATTTAATTATTTAGAAGACGGAAAAATACTTATTGATCGCTCGCGCTTAGTCTTTGATAAAATCTATAAAATTTATCAAGGCAAACATATACGTATTAGGAATCTAATTATGAATAATTTCAGTGACGTTGCCTAGCAAGGCTGAAATACATACGCAGAGAACGAATTAAGCCTTGATCAATTAGAAACGCTGCTTACAAAATCTTAGTATCCGTTTAATTATAGGTCTGTTTTTTTATAGCTGAATTAATATACACTTAAAGTGATAGATTTATGTTT